TGAACAGAGATAATACCACTTATCCACTGTTAAAACTGCTGGCTAATTTGTCCCTGTAATGCAGTATGTCCTGCAGCTCTTGACAATGCCCTTGCCTTTCCCATTCTGTGATCTGAAAGTTACTATGATTGTAACTTGCTGAAATCTCACCCTAGTATTGGGTTATTGCTTCAAGGGAGCATCACTACCCTATCACCCAAGATGTAAGACAAACCCAACTGCCTGGGAATATGATAAGCCTTTGTCACCCCCAATGCAGTTAGTACTGAAAATAGAAAGAATGGCTGTGATACAGTTATGATTAGGCAGAGATGAGCTATTGTCCAAATGACAGAAACGAATGCAGGAGGCCAAAGATGACCTACCCAGAACCACGAGTTTCTTGATTGCCATTTCTCTTAGAGTTTGATGAAATATTCATGCCTTTGTGCTCTCCTTTCTGCGAGCACTATTGATTTCTTGTATAAATGCTGCTGCTATATTTAGTCTAGACAAATGGAATGTGGATTGCTGCTGAATAAATTGGATGAAAGACTGGGATCTTGCCTGCCGTGTTCTCTCAGTCTTGGGCAATTATTTATAATCAAGAGCAGTTTTTGTAAGTTGAGGGCGATTTTTCACAATTTAGTGATTAGTCTCCGAACAAAGACAAGCAGTTAGGCACAATCATTTCTGTTGGGATAGCAGGTTAAGAAGTCAAATTACCCTTTGAGATTTACAATAACCATTTCAGAGACTTTGGAGATAGCTTTCCTTATCTTTTTTTCTTTTTGAAAAAAATAAGCATTTGATGTTTGTAGATAATCAACAATAGGAATTCTAATAAGCCAAGATCTCAGGGTCTCTTGAATTTTTACATTTTGTCTTTATTGTGTTAATTTCTGAGCTTTGTTATTGGGATTCCCATGTTTAAAAGTGAAGGCTACAGTTTGACTTTATAGAATGATGAAATATATCATTAACAGCCATTTGGTTTGGTACTGTGCCAACCCTTTAAGTTAATGCTCAAAATCTCATATTACTTGAGAGGCTTTACTGAAAGTTCTATGTTACCATTACAGCCAGGAGATCTTATAAGCTGTCATCTTTAGTAGCTTTCGAACTAGTCACAACTAATTTATTTTCTTTCTCAAATATGTCTTAGAAGGCATGGTTTATCACACTATAGTGTATTAATAATCAATTTTGTTTCAGATAACTTCTGACTAATAGTGTTTCAGATAACTTCTGACTAATATATTAAAAAATCTGTGTATCGTGGGTGCCAGTGTCTATAATCCCAGCTCTTCAGGAGGTTGAGACCTGGAGGATCGCAGTTCAAAAACAGCCCAGGCAGTAAAGATGGTGAGACACTTATGTCCAGTTAACTAGCAAAATGCCAGACTATAGGCATGGCCCAAGTGGGTAGAGCACCAGCTCTAAGAGAAAAAGCTGAGCAGCAGGAGCATGAGAGTCTGAGTTAAAACCTGGAACAAAAAAAAAAAAATGAAGGGGAGAAGTTGGATTGGTAGGATGTTGAGAGTTGCACTTATCCATGGAATGGTTACTTTTGAACAACCACTTAATGATAATAAAATATAATTTAGAAAAGAAAAGACGATAATAAAGTTAGCCATCAGTGTAAGGTACACCATATAGTTCAAATGTCATGTGAGGGCATTTAGTGCTTCAGTATGTGAAACTTTTTCATTTGTAGACAGAGCTTCTGTCAGGCCTTTTAAACTTGTTGTATCATGGTTCCCTAATCCTGAATCTTTGTATCTAAGATACTAATACGGATGTGGTTAGAATGTCAAGTTACAATTTTGAAAAATGCAGTTAAATACAAAAGAAAGGATCATTCATATTTACCTCCAAATTATAATGATCCTCTGTTATCTGAGCCATCAGACATTGTGAGGAGAATTGGCCAGCTATTGTGACTGAAATCCTGTGTATATATGCTCAGAATTCCAAGATTGACATTTTGTCTTTGAGTGTGTGTGTGTGTGTGTGTGAACTCAGGGCCTGAATGCTGTCCTTGAGCTTTTGTGGTCAGGGCTAATGATCTACCACTTGAGATACAGCTGTACTTTGGGCTTTTTGATGGTTAGTTATAGATAAGAGTCTCAAGGACTTTTCTGCCTGACTGATTTCAAACAGTGGTCCTCAGATCGGGGCTGCCTGAGTAACTAGATTACAGGTATGAGCCACCAATGTTGCCTGGCCCATCTTCCACTTTTTATTTTTATTTTATTATTATTATTATTATTATTATTATTTTGTCAGTCGTGGGGTCTGAACTCTGGGCCTGGGCACTGCCCCTTAGTTCTTTTAGCTCAAGGCTAGCACTCTACAACTTGAGCCACAGTGCCACTTCTGGCTTTTTTCTGCTTATGTGGTGCTGAGGAATCGAACCTAGGACCTCATGCATGCAAAGCAAACACTCTACCTCTGAGCCACCTTTCCAGCCCTCTCTTTCACTTTTTAAATGACCAACCTATGGTCTAGAATAAGGGAGGCCTGGGACTTGAAAGGTCAACGAATTTTACAATGTTAATTATATTAACATTGTTTAAATGGTTGTCATAATATAAATGCCACTTTCTGTGTCTTTTTCACTTTTATTATAATAGTAATTTTAATATTTTCAAAAACCTTATTTTTAGTGGTTACATATATTTCTACCAAATGGATGTAACATATTTTGTTTAGACATTTTCTTGTAGTAATTTCAATTATAAAAAATAATGCTCCAGAAAACAGTGTAATATTAAACTTTTAAAAAATATCCATTAGAATTACTTGTATAAGATTTAGTTCTAGATATGGCAAACTTGTATCAAATAATAGTAGGAACATCTGGCACTTCTTGATACATATTACAATATTAATTCTGTTACTTTATATCAATGGTCAGTGCTTCTTGCAATACAAAATTTTACATATTACATTCTTATGCTGTACAGTGGGGCATTGTGTACATAGTCACATGTCTAATTCCTATACATAATACTTAATAAATGCATGTCAGTTTATATTTATAATTTGCAGTTATTTACTAGTGAAGATAAATTCAGCTGCTGAGGTATATGCTTTTAATAATGTTTTACAGTTTTATTTTCTAATATTTTATAGAAATCACATACCATTTTATTTTCATGTTTGCTCTTTAATATTTTTTGCATTGTTTACTACTCAGTATTGATGGTTTACTGTAATATCTATGAGATTTCCATTTTACATAATAAAAAAATCCACAGCAAAGTTTCCATATATGCAGTGAGCACTTTGAATAGGTGATCCTTTATTGCCGTTATTATAATGATCCCCAATTTACTGAGGCCCAGTACAGTTACGAACTTCCTGGGTTTGCACAGGTAGGAGAACAGACATGTAGATGTAAAAGCAGAGGTTGAAAGCTAGCAGCCTACGTATTACAGCTGAGTAACAGACTATTTGTTTTCTTCCCAGAACATGTAAATCTTTTGTATAATTTTTCAATTAAAATTTGGTTATTTCTGATTATATTACATGTTTTGTTCACTCATAAATGGTTAGATCTGAGTATGGACTTTCTCCTTTGGATTGATATCTTACCCATCCACTTTTTCTTCCAAAAATCTCTTATTTTATTAATATCAATTATTTTGCTTAATTGCAAAACTTTCTTGATTCCTTGAAGTGATAATCATACTGAAAATAGTTCACTACAAGTTTGGTATAGGCACTGACCAATCAGAATGCATGCCAGCCATAAAAGTCTGGAACATCTAAATATCTAGCCAGTTTGTAAACTTTCTTGAATAAACCATTCTTTTAGGAGCATTTGTGTTCAGCATTTTAAACACATTGCCTAATTTAATTTTGAGTAATTTAAATATTATCTTCTGTAATTATCCTAAGATCTTCTTCTTATGTTCTGATTAAATACATTTTAAGTTCCCCATACATTTTTCTGTCTAGTTTCTTTTATGAATGAAGTTACTGAGATACACATAATCACTCTTTAAACACCAGCCCTTACAAACTCAGATACTTTCACTCAGTATTTAGATCTGGTTCCTTTGCTATTGTTGATTCCATTTCCCACATTGTAGTCTTCCTCTGCTAAGTCTCATAGTACTAAGAATACATTTCAATTCAAGCTTAAGTTTTTAAGGTAGAATGATCTGATGCTGATTACAAAACGAATGTTCATAAGTGCACACATTGAATGGTTGCAGAAGTTCTCTCTTATATAACATCTTTTCCTTATCATTACACTTCTTGGTACTAAGTTGATTTAATTTGGGTAAGTTCTTCAGTAGAGTAGGGTGTGTGTGTGTGTGTGTGTGTGTGTGTGTGTGTGTGCGCGCGCACGCGCGCGCGCGTGTGCGTGCGCACACATGCGTTTCTACTGGGGCTTGAACTCAGGGTGTGGGTACTGTTCCTGAGCCTTTGTGTTCAATACTAGCATTCTACCACTTGACATACAACCCTACGTTCAGCTTTTTTGGGTGATTAATTGGAGGTAACAGTCTCATGGACCTTCCTTCTCAGGCTAGCTTTGAACTGCGATCCTCAAATCTCAGCCTCCTGATTTGCTAGGATTATAGGCATGAGCCACTGGCACCCACCTCAAAGCAGAAGTGTTCTTTCATTTATTTTTTTCTAGTCCTACAGCTTGAGCTTAGGGCCTGGACCCTTCCTCTGAGCATGATCATGGCTAGCATGTTGCTACTTGAGCCATAGCTCCCCTTCTAAGAATATGTTTTGTATTTGGCTTTCATACTAGTAAATAATTGAATCTATCTCTTTGAAAAAGCAATGTACATAATTCTTGGTAGAATACGAATTGTTGAATAAAACTTTGCAGGTGGTCTCTCACAGAAAACTTTTTATCATTATAAAAATGTCACACTCACCGACTTGAATTTTACTGTACAGTGTATAGTATACATATGTATTTACCCCCTTAGTCAGTATACTGAGTTTCACATCTTTATTCTCCTTTCTCTTGCTTCTTTCCTGCTGCCCAGTGGATGTGAAGTCAGAGGTCCCTGTGGGCCTGGAGCCCATCTCACCTTTAGACCTAAGGACGGACCTCAGGATGATGATGCCAGTGGTGGACCCTGTTGTCCGGGAGAAACAACTGCAGCAGGAATTACTTCTTATTCAGCAACAGCAGCAAATCCAGAAGCAGCTTCTGATCGCAGAGTTCCAGAAACAGCATGAGAACTTGACACGACAGCATCAGGCTCAGCTTCAGGAGCACATAAAGGTAGCAAATGTGTCTGCTTCTGACCTTTTCAGTGAGGGTGTCTGCACCGTGACATGAGCATAACAAGTAAGAGTGTCTGCACCATGACATGAGCGTAAGAAGCCCCCACAGGCGCACTGAAGGGGAAGCTGCACTGTGATTATCACATGGAGCAGTAACTTGAAGGAAATGGTGTTTGTCCTGGTGGAACCCTTGGAAGAGAATCTAATAACCTGCTGGGCTTTTTCAGAGGCTTCTCCTGCCTTCCTGTCCTTTAGCTTGCGTTGAGTGGCCCTAGGGAACAGGAGCTTCTTAATCTTGTTTGAGTGTCTACCATATGTTCTTTCTTCCCATATACTCACCACCAACAGGAGCCACGAGTCTATAAAATTCCACTTCATGTTTCTAAAGAATCCGCATGTACTATTTATCAGAAAGGATATATTTGATTCTTTATGTAAACAGAGAGCTCACTGGTTTTATATTCAATCTTTGGTCAGCAAATAAATGTTCTGAGTATGCGCTCATCTTTCGTATAAGAAGGATTTCATAGAATACAGTTTCAAAAATCACAGCATAATAAAAGTTCAGTGGGATTTATATGGAGAACCGTGAAAATATTTCAATTTTTATAGACTGTAGATAACAATTTGTTGAAAGAATTTTTAAAGTAGTTGACATTTGAGAATCAAGTTGTTTAAATTATTCCTGGAGAAATGTATATATATCTGAATTTTTTATGATGCAGCTTTATTATTTTTGATTATTTTAGATATGCTTATAGATTTATTTCTTTTTTGTGTCTTCATAAAGACATTACTATTTTGGCTTTGTCTACATTTATTGTCAATGAATTAACAAAGACATTAAAAATGAGGGTGGTTTAGTTTGATTTTAAAGAGATACTAAATTCAGTGTGTTATAACAGCATTATAAAAGCATAAGCATAGTTAGAGGTAGGGACTCAAGCTGGTATAGCAAATATGAGACCCTGAGTTCAAATCCAAGCACTGCAAATAAAAGCATGAAATATTTATAATAAAAATTATTTATATATCCAACTGTTTCAGAGCATGTAAATATATATTAATATAATAAATTATGATTATATTACATTTTGTTTTATTAAACTCTATTCTTCTAGGCACTTAATATATCACTTGCATATCAAGTACAAGCACCCGAATGTGTTACTAATATGGAAAACAGATCTTTGTTAATATTATATAGTTTTATTATATTAATGTTACAATGTCTGATAAGGTAAAAATATATTCCTTTTGTTCCTTATTTTATAAGATATTTTCTTAAGCTGGAAGGTCTGTATTATTTTATTTTGCCTAACAAAGCATCTTTATCACTTAATAAACTTAACTAAAATAACTTATACATAGTATTGATACCTCAAAAACAGTCCTGAGAGGTGGCTTATGATAATAATCTTAGCTACTTGGGAGGCAGATATTGGGACAATCATAGTTTGAAACCAGCCAGGACAAAAGAAAATAAAAGTTAGTGAGACCCTCATCTCAGTGAAAAGGCAGGGCATAGTAGTGAGCATCTGTTGTTCTGACTCAGCAGGATACATAACAGAGGATACTCACAGTCCAGGGTAGGCCAGGCAAGAAAAGCCACACCTTATCTGAAAAATAATTAAAGCAAAAGAGCTGGAGTTTGGCTCAAGTGGTAAAGTGCCTGCCTGGCAAGCACAAGGCCCTGATTTCAAATCCCTACCACCCGTCATCCCCCCTACCCCCTGCGCCCCCACCACACACACGAAGAAAAATTAAAAATAAATCTGTGTGCATACTCAATCCTACAAACCTTGCTACTTGGGAAGTAAGAGAATAGTTGGGCAAGGTTCAAGGCCAGCGTGGGCAAAAAGTTCACCATACCTCATCTCAGTTAACAACTGATAGTTTTGGCCCAGGTCTGTCATTTTAGCTGTGAGGGATGTGGCAGGATTATCTTCCAGTCCAGCCTGTGCAAAAATGTTTATGGGACCCTATCACAATAGAAAAAGGCAGGTATGATAGAATGAGTGTCTGCCAAGCATCTGTAAAGGCCTGGGTTCAAACCCTAGTACTACCAAAAAACTAAAATAAAGTGAAAACAAGACTGAGGATCTTGTGAAATCAGTAGCTCATGACTACATTTTGAAACGTGAGAAATCTTTCTTTAGTGCATTTATATTGGAATGAATGCTGAACATGATTTCAAATTGACCTTTAAAACAATAATCGGAGCATTGATGTCTAGATGTCTTCCCAGGCATGTTAGGTTGGCATTGATGCTCCAGAGAATTTGTCTTCTTCACTGTAGTTTAAGAACTGCCCCCAAGTGAGTCACGTTTTCCTGACTAGTGGGCAAGGCTGATGAGCTATTAGTACTATTAGTTAATCATTTTTAAGTGTTTTATCATTTATACTTAGTGTCTTCTGTGACTGTAAGATTAAGATATTTATTAGTTGATTATACTCAAAAGCCAATAACAGAGGTAGATTTCTCAGTTTTTTTGGTTGCCACAAACACAGTGAGTCGATTTATTGACATCTGGAAAATGTTGGAAAAGAAGCTCTTAAGAGAATAAGGATTATGAGATAGCTAAGAGGAAAATTTAGCTTCTAAAGTGATTTTCCAAAGTAATAAGTTCTTTTCTCAGAAACTGAAGACATATTTAAGACTTCCTTTTTAAAATTTGGAAGTTTTTTTTTAGCTTTTTATTTTATTTTGTTTTGACACATTCTTATGGGTGAGGCTAAAAGCTGATGCTTTTAACATTCAGATAGATTTTATGTGTTCGATTTTATGTGTATGAGGAAGGTAGGATGAGTGATTTTTGAGTCTTGGGCATCTGTAATAATCACCATCTGGTGCATTGGATACTATTATCCCATTTTCCACCTCGTACACTAAGGTAGAGAGAAATCATGTAGGTTTCCATTCCATACTAAGCTACACAGCTGGTGTGCACTGCTCCAAGATTTGGAGTCTTGCCTTGTTTGCCCTCATGTCCCTAAATCATTCTGTCAAGTTCAAGGGCCAGAACATCTGGAAACAGAGGGTAAAGTTTTATTTCTGTTTTATTTAAACTTCTTGCTGCCAATCTTTGCAGTTAATAGTTATGGCAATTAAAAACTATGCTTTTTATATCATTATAAAGTTCAATTATAATAAGATTTGGATAAAGCACTGGGTCAATTTGACCAATATCTGCATAGAATTATCCTTAAAACAGGGTACAGTTAGAGTTATTGATTTCATTTTTCTTGGTTCTAGGGATTGAACCCCTAGACAAGCACTCAAATGCTAGACAAGCACTCAATAGCTTGATGCAAGCTCTCAGCATTTTGTTTGTTTATTGAGATAGTGTCTCCCTAGCTTTGCATAAACTGGTGTCTAACTTGTCATCTTCCTGTCTATATCTCTTAAGTAGCTGAGATTATTAGCTTCTACTATCTTCAGCCTCAGGGTTATAATTCTCTTGTGTGTGTGTCCAGTTGTTTTCAACTTTAGTTTTTTTATGGTCAAGGTGATGTACAGAGGGGTTACAGTTACATAAATAAGGTAATAAGTACATTCTCAGGCAACGATAGAATATCTAAAAGAGTATCATTTGTGTGTTTGGTGTAGCGAAGTCAAAACTTCAATATTTTCTATTAAGAGCCACCTTTTAACATAAAGAATAATCAGAAATTCTCCTGAAGATATTCTTCGGTATTGGTGAAGCTATGATGATGGACCAACAAAGCTTTTGCTGTTCCAGAGGGGGCCTGAAATCAATGTATAGCTTTTGATTTGTGTTCTTTTACTTTCTGGGATATGTCAGAGTTTTAGGGACCACTATAATAAAAAATATACTCTTGATAGCATGAAATGTTACAGATTTACATGTTCAAACCTAAAAATTAATTTTCTATCCTTATGAATGTGATATGTGAAAGAGGTTTTTTTTTGTTTTTTGTTTTTTGTTTTTAATCTTATATATGATATGCCAAGGTTCTGAGTGGCGGTTAAGTAACATCCAGATCTCACATCTACACTCAATAGAAATCTTAAATCATTCGTAATCCCTTTGTGGGCACACTTAGTAGTCTTCATAGATGGATATTTCTCAGTCTGAAAAAAAGAATGATGTTTTTCATTATTTGATGATGAATTCAGGGGATTCAGAAAGACAAACAGCAGCATATTAAAGTATAGTTTTATTGAAATGATTTCATTTAGATCAGTGTCTTGAATCTAAATTTTTATGTGCTAAATGAAAGATTAAAGACTTCTGCTATTTTGAAAAAGAACCTATTATAGATATGCAGAGTGCCTTACTTAGTCTGTTGAGAACTTTCTCTGTAAGGTTCTGAAATTGTTCATCTTCATTCTATTTCAAGTAGACTTCCCCCAAATGTCACCCATATCTCACCATCCTATTCACTGTGATTATTTTTACACCATTTCTCAGACTAAGAACTAAAGATTTCAATTGTTTATTTATAATGCAGAGGACTTTGTAAATAGACCTGTGGTGGCTTTTGCCTGCACATAGATTTCATATACACGAAAGAAGGTTAGTAGGAGAATAAATATTTAACCGACAGACACCAGTGGGACTTTGGTAATTATTTTTTACGGAGTGGCAAAGGTAATGGAGTTACCTAAAAACTTGCTCGTGGATGATTTAAGACCATCATGTCATTAGTGGCTTGTTTTCAGTTTTAAATAGTTCTTTAAAAATGAGTTGATAAAAATATATGCTGAGTAAAAATTCCAAAAGCTAATAAGACTTTAAAATTTGGGGTAGTCAGAAATGACTATGAAGCGTAAAGAAATTGCACACTCTCATGTCTTTCTCTTCTCGCAAGTTGCAACAGGAACTTCTAGCCATAAAACAGCAGCAAGAACTCCTAGAAAAGGAGCAGAAACTGGAGCAGCAGAGGCAAGAACAGGAAGTAGAGAGGCATCGCAGAGAACAGCAGCTTCCTCCTCTCAGAGGCAAAGATAGAGGACGAGAAAGTAAGAGGAACCAGGGTAAAAGATGGACTCTCTCCCCTCATCTCTAGTTGATCGTCATAGAAAGAAGACTTAGCATGGAATGAAACTTGTCAAAACTGTCTGTGTTTAGTTCAAGTAATAAATTTTGGACTCAAATGTACAGCTCTAACATTCTCCTACTGGCTCTTTATTCGGTCTGCAGCACATCACAAGAAGTAAACACATGTTGGCACAGCTGTGAATTTTTATTTTTGGACCTTAAAAATAATGTCATGCTAAAGTAATCCCACGTAAGATATCTTGTTTAATAATGAAGTTATGCCCACATCTCCATACTATGCCTAGCTTCTGCCAGTCCAAGTAATTGCTCTGTAAGTCACACCTGGCCTGCGTTTAATTTCTCTGTACTCAGACTTGGGAAGATTTAAGGCAGAACACTTGCAAAAGAACTATCCACAAGAGGGAGACAGATCCAAATAATTCATCATCATTAGGTCAGTTCAAGCTCAGGTCGCAGCAAGGTTTAAAACTCAATGACTCGAACTGAAATTTCCAGCAATATTTATTTGTTTAATGCTCAAAGGATTTTTTTTAAATGTTAAGTTTCTCAAACTAGAAACTTGGACAGATCATTGTACAAGGATCTGCTGTGGCACCCCAATACACCTGGTTGTTTTTTAATAGTGTATTATTCCTCGGCAGTGATTTTTAAACTTAAAAATTGTTATTAATTCTAGAGATCCTCTTTCTGCAAAAGCAATTAGAGAACTCATTGCAAGTCTTTTGAAATTGGCAATTTAACTAAAAGTTGCAGAGCACTGTGCTATTTTAAAAGACCTCTTCAGATTCTGATTTCTTTCTTTCTTTCTTTCTTTCTTTCTTTCTTTCTTTCTTTCTTTCTTTCTTTCTTTCTTTCTTTCTTTCTTTCTCTCTTTCTTTCATTTGCTAGGATGATTTCATATGCTGTGCCCAGTGAAGTTACTTCTTAGTCTCTGTTAGATTATGCGAGGGCATAAGAGGACAGGGCTCACACCCACATCTGTTTCTGTGTGTGTTTCAGGAGCTGTGGCAAGCACAGAAGTAAAGCAGAAGCTTCAAGAATTCCTGTTGAGTAAATCAGCAACAAAAGACACTCCAACTAATGGAAAAAATCATTCCGTGAGCCGCCATCCCAAGCTCTGGTACACGTATGTTCACTGTTTGGCTGTTTTCCTTCCCTGGGGTAGAGTGCAGATTCTCTATTTAGCTGACCTGGGTATAAATTCTGGGCCTACCATTTCTCAGTTGTATAGCTGTGGCAAGTTCCTGGAATTCTCTATCAGCTTCCTTCTCCATTAAGAAGGAGATAATGATGGAACCTGCTTTCCAAAGGGACTGGGACTGTCCTATGGGAGAAAAATATGTCAAAGTAACGAACAACATTGTTTAATATGTGTTAGCATTTATCACTCGGAGGACAAGGGAGTACTATATATGTTCTTCGCGGAATGAAAATATGGCATATGAGATGGGGCAGAGAAGTTAATTTGTATTTTGCATTTTTTCTATTTTCAGATGGTACATCTGATATTTATCCATAATCTCTGGAGCTTTGGCAGATCGTGACTTTATTTTATTTTACTTGGTTTGATGTAAAATGGAAGTCAGAGCTATTTTGAGATGATCAGATGATTTTTGACTCAATTTTTTTAAAGGATAAAAGGAAGATAAGGAAGGGAAAGGAAGAGGAGGGATGTAGCTAAACAAATCTAAGTCTTTAGTAACTAGCTTACCCCTGTGCTCTGTATCTTATTTCATCCTATCTAGTAAAAGATCATTTGGCTTCTGACACACAGACTGACAATTTAGTATACTGTGGTATTTTTTTTTTTTTTTTTTGGTTAGTCATGGGGCTTGAACTGTGGGCCTGGGCACTGTCCCTCAGCTCTTCAGCGCAAGGCTAGCACTCTACCACTTGAGCCACAGCACCACTTCTTGATTTCTGGTAGTAAATTGGAGGTAAGACTCTCATGGAGATAAGAGTCTCATGGGGTTTCCTGCCTGGGCTGGCTTTGAACCATGATCCTCAGATCAGTCTTCTGAGTAGCTAGGATTACAGGTATGAGCCACCAGTGCCTGGCTGTGGTATTATATTTTTTATAGGTTCTAATTTTCCCAAGTACATTAGAAATATTATATAATTTTCTGCTCTATAAAATATAAAGGATGGGATATTTTTAAAACCAGAGCAGATACTTGATAAATAAATTACATTTAGATAATAGGCTAACAGATGATTGCATCATTTCTCTCATAAATGTGTTCAGTGAATGATCATATGATTTTTATATAAATATATTTTTTGTTCACTTCCATTTTTAAGGATAGTTAGTAAAAATTAATTACCCTGTTTTGTTGGGGGGAATTGTGAGAGTCTGTAAGACAGATTTATTGTTTCGTATCAGTCTATTTTTAAGGTATCTTCCCTTCTCTGTATCTATCTATCTGTCTATCTATACATACATATATATATATATATAAACAGATAAATGCCAGTAAATTTGAGACATTTAAGACAAATTTGAGTTGAGTGATTTCTGTAATTTCTGTCATACATGTCTGTTGACTTGAGAAATCAGTTAACAAATGTTTTCACATGATGAATCATCACAAAGTATTTTAAAAGAATACAGCTTTGTTACCTTGATATACTTATTATATATAATTTACTTATAATTCCTTTAAAATTAAAACTGGCTTTAAGAAAATATAATACTATTTTATAGTGAGAAAACTTATATGCAAATAAATTATCAGCTGAAAATCCTTTTGCTTTTCTTTTGATCTTATGAAACATGGCTCCCTCATGTTAGTGATCTTCTCTTTCTCATATGGAATTGAAGTTCAGTTGGGTTCAACTCTATATAACCATAAATCAGTAATGTAAGGAATTTCAATTTAATACCATCATTTACCAGTTATAGGTACATGAAATATACTTGCTTATTCTTGAGGATGCAGTTCTCAAATAAACATTATTTCTTGAACATTTGTGGTGGTACTGTGCACTCTGCATTGTCTTCATTCTACATAATAATTGTGGATGTCCATCTCTACTGGTCATTTTATTTTCAGTTGTAAAAACTATGCTCTAATACCACAATTTACTTTTCTCAGTGTAGTCACCAAGGAAAGAAAAAAAATATTTAACAATATTAGTTTCATATTGTTAAAGAATGTGATCTCTGTTCCAAATCTTCAGAACCCCTATAGAAATCAGACCTGAGAATAATGGCACAAAGCTGGCCTTTCAGTTGCAAGTTTGTCCTCATGTGTGAAGTTATGCAATCTAGCAAGTGATGTACTTGTCATATTGACTCTTACCTTGGTGGTCCAACATGGTTGACTAAAAATAATCAAAAGCGGAGCTTTTTAGAAGTGTGCCTACTGAGAAAATCATATGCAAAAATCTCTGATTTTGAAAAACCTTTAGCAAAGTGAACTTTGTGACTGTATGACCAGACACAATGGGCATTCTTAGGAATCTAGCATCAGTTCCTAACATCCTCGTATAATGAGTATGGTTATATGAGCTATGTTTTGTAAATGCTAAGAAAGAGGCCCATAGACACAGCCGAGGCATGTGGACAGCATGTGTAAGTGATTATTGCAAGCAACATGCACAAGAAAGACCCATGTCAATGGAGAACCTTCTTTGTTCTTTGTAGGGCTGCCCACCACACATCTTTGGATCAAAGCTCACCACCCCTTAGTGGGACCTCTCCATCCTACAAATACACCTTGCCAGGAGCACAAGATGCCAAGGATGATTTCCCACTCCGAAAAACTGGTAAGTCTACTTAAACAAAACCCCACTTGCTCTCCAAAATATGCCTGTAGCTCCATTTTGTTCATCTGTCACTGAAAAACAGTTGGAAAAAAAACAAAAAGGTTGAATTGCAAATAGTATAACTCGCACTGTTATAAGGATGAAAAAACTTCCCTGTAAGCACACACGCGTGCGCGCACACACACACACACACACATACACACACACACACACACAAAGACACACAATGATCTCTCTTAAATTTCCACATTAATCCATTATATAACCAACGTGTTTTTTTAAAATTTAAGTTATTATTATTATTTATCGTGATTATTTTGGTATTAGCAATAAAAGATAGAATAAAGGAAAATAGAAATTGATTTCTCAGAAATTCTGTTATCCATTAGCAAACAACTTTAATTTCCTCCCTTATTTATTTTCCTTTTTGGCTTGTCTGATATTTATTTTTATTTCAATTAGTTAATTAATTATTTTGTGCCAGTACAGGGGCTTGAACACGGGGTCTGGACGCTGTCCCTTAGCTTTTTCATTCAAAGCTCAAATCCAGTTCTGGCTCCTTGGTGGTTAATTGGAGATAAGACTCATGAATTTTCTATGTGGCTGTCTTCAAACCAGGATACTCAGATCTCAGCCTCCTCAGCAGCTAGAATTACTCATGTGAACTCTTGGTGCCTGGCTTAACAAAACATTTTTTAGTCTTAAATTTTATTTTATTTTTTTGTCAAAACCAGGTAAGGCGAAGACTCCATTTTGACTTGACTAATGCTTTAGGAACCTGCAGAACTCAGAATTAAATTTATCCCTGAATTTTAATTTTGTATTAAAATTTGTTTAGGGAAATTAGAATAGTAAAGCTTCTACTTACAATTTTAAAATCAGTCCTTATCTCTAAGGCCTGTATTTCTTTTTCAACTTTTTCTCCATTGAGAACACCTTAATATGTGTATATTTAATGCTCTCAGACTATAAACTAATCTATTCAACATTAGGTAGATACACACTTAATTAGCACTTGTGCTCATTCTGTTGTACATTTTTTAATATTTACCAAATACAGTTTATAAGAGACAATTGCCAATGTAAAAAATATTATATCCACAACTCATCTATAAAGATATTCATAAATGACACTTTAGTCTCTTCTACTTAAGTCATCTTCTTGAAGAATTTTAGATCTCTGTAATTTGTGTGTAAAATCGACAGTGTGATAATGCTTCCAAATGATTATATTCATTTTCCCAAGTAATTTCAAGTAATTAAAATGGATATAGATTGTAAAAACACATGCTGAAGCTATTTTCTCTCATATAATTTACCTATAGCATAATGAAGATTCAAAAATAATGCCAATCATGATTAAGAATTAATTACTCACTAGGTAGTTTATATTGTAGCAAGCAGTGAGTATGGGTGTCTAGGTATTGTAAAGCAGCCTTACCTTTAAATTTTTCTTACCTAAAGATTCTTGCAGTTTTAAGCCAATAAATATAAGATTTTGTTCAGGAGAATTCTATACAAAGGTGAGAATGATAGTGTTTCATGTTTTTCATAAAATTTACTCAATTACCCACAAATCATGTTGCTTTTCTTATGAATAAAGTTCTTTGGAATAAAAGATGGAAGAAAGCAAAGAGTAAGATTTTATGTATTTCTAAAACATGGAATACTGTTAGTGAAAATTGATCTCTAAATGACATGAGAGTTAGAATGTGAGGACTTTGATCTACAGCTTTGATATTTAGTTGTGTCGGTGGCAAGTATAGGAGCTACTGATAGAGATTATATGGGTATTGCCCAGTTCTCAAGGCAGGGACTAGTATGTAAGAGCCCAAGGCATCCCTAAAAGGAAAGAAAATATGAGTTCTCTTATAGCAGAAGGTTAGTGATGAGTGATCCAGTTACATTCACAGAGAAAGACTTGTGTCCTGCTGGGCACACAGCCTTTGACTATATTCTTACCACAGGGAGCTTGAAAACTGAGTACAGAGTTTAATACTACCTTTGACAAGAAGTGGCATTTGGGACTCGAAGCATCTAGAAAGAAAATGTGGTCATTTTCAAAACTTAGAGCAAGTACTAAAATCTTTTACTTTATATCCTACTGTTTCCATGAAAACAGCTTAGGGTTTCTTCCTCTGCAAAGAAGGAATAACAAGCTGTTAATTTAGTCTCATTGAAATTCTGAATTTACAACAAAAACCAAGGAGGAATCATGCTGAAGATATATGTCACACACTCTCATCCAAAACTACAAAGATGCAAGACACTTTCTGCACCCATTTATGTGATATAGATGTATCTGTGTATGTGTATATATATATATATATATATATATATATATATATATATATAAGCAAAAATCCCTGGCCTTTTTGTCATATATTTTCTGAATTTACACCATATTTCAAAATTCTTACTTTTATATTGAAAAACTGATATTTATGAAGTGTCAGGCTGTTGATCTGTAAAACTAAACATTTTCAAGCATTTTAGTTATAAAGTTCTCATGCAGCCGTTAATGCTTTAATATCTCTATAGGGGTTTCAAAATATTAGTAATTCAATTCCCATTGTCAGTTTAAGGAAAGTATGATATAATTAAGTGCAGATGTTTTCTACATACTATCTAAAGTACTTAGAGACACCCTTCATTAATTACAAATAGGCGGAACTCTTCTAGTGCTTAGAAATGTAATCCATTTGGTGTTTTGCCAATTCTATTGTCTATTATATTTAGACATATACTTGTACTCAGAAGAACACTGCAATATCATCATATCATAATATTTATTTCAGCATTTGTTGAATGTCACTAACTCTAAAGTCATTACAAAAAAGTAAACAATAAAAATTTGCCACAATAGAACATAAGTGGCTATTGGGGAAACTGTTTAAAGTTAATTTTGTGTGAAGCTACATCACATTAAATGGAGTCTAAAGTAGAGTAATAGATCACAGAGGAAAAAATTACCTGGACAGCTGTTTTATTGGCATCATGCTTTGCCAATAGAGCCAGAATTTCAATCTCTTTTTTCTACTTGAATTTCACTGAACTCAATTTTAGACTTAAAAGAAGTTATTAAGTGAGTGGACTCTATCTTTTGATCTGCATATAATACTACATACTCTTTCTTTTTATTTAACATCAGTTCTGAATTACTAATCTGTGTTAGCAAGATTTAAGAGACCAAAACTAGAACCAGAATAAGCAAAGTTGTAGTGACCTTAAATAGATTAAGGTAGCCCCAGGGGTGCCCCTTAAGCAGTGAGCACAGTTTGGAACCTCTCAACCTTTTAGGACCCCCTGCCCCAGCCAGTGACCACCAAGAACAGTTAACTATAGAAGCTCATTTGCCTGCAGAAATCTGACCTGTGTCATACAAAGTAGGACCTTTACTTCCTTCCCCTTAGGAGAATTATTGGTGTCCCTGGAATCTGGGTGTTTTCAAGTATCAGAATATTACTAATAGTTGTCTTTAATCATGTCAGTTTATGGTCCCCTTACTTTTCAAATTTAGAAATTTTGTGGTTTTTGCAGTTTTCGCAATAATGAACAGCAAGGGTTTCCCATTATTGGTTTTGAAATTAATATATATGGTTTTTGCTTGCTCAAAATTAGTTCTTACACTACAATTCTTTTTTGTTTCATAACACAAAAATATGTTGATAGGGAAATTTGGATTACTTTACTGACCTTTATTCTTTAGCTAAAAATAGCATTGTTACTGCCATAAATGATTTTCCTCCATATATAATCCATGCTGGATTCATGATAAACTATAAAGTAGAGGAACAAAGCTTCTAGATCTTCCAAGAACTTTTGAAATATTACCTATTTGTCACAGAGATACTGCTGCCTTTGTGTAACTTTGAACTGACCTTCAAAATCATTTAATTTGGATTCTGTTCCAGTGAGTGTACATATGTTTCGTAAAACATTATGGTGAAAAATTCTAGAGGTTTTATACTCCATTATATTATCGAGGTCTTACCCAGTGAACTTTGCCTTTCTTTAAATATTACAATCTTTCCATTTAATACTTTTGAACAAAGAGAGTTGGCTGGATAGATTAACCTCTTAAAGTGCAAAAGCCATATAAAATTTGGCTTGCGCTGAATAAGATTGTTCCAGCCCTACTGAAATATTCATTTTAATGGTCAGCAACACTAGAATAAGACTCAAAGATGGAAGAGGTCCAAACATAAGTTAAAGTTTTGGAAGGCCAATGGCATTTTCCACATTGAGTAAATTGGAAGAGAGGCAGAGACGAGATATATGGCTTTATAAATTTCCCTCTGTGTAGCAGTCAGCAGTTACGGTTGTGGTACCTTGGTGACCTTTTCAAGTTATAATCCAAAATTAACAGGAGGAGAATTTTTAAATGCCTTACAGAATCTCCCTAATCCTTCTTCTTTTCCTCCTCTTAGTTTTTTTCCTTCTCCCTCCCTCCACGAGTCCTTCTCTTTTCCTTGTTCTGTTTCTCTTTCTCTTTCTTCTCCTTTTCCTTCTCTCTCCAGTTCCTCCTCCTTCCTTCTACCCACTTCTTCTGTCTCCCCACTTTCCCTCCCTTCCTGAGTCTGTCTCATAGTACAGAAACACATGTGCTCACATACATGAACATGCACACTGCTCTGCAAAGATAGCACTAAGTAGCATCCATGCCTATAAAAATATTTGCTCACAATCTTATCCCGATGGTCAAACACTGGAACAATTTCCTATATTTTAGTAGCCTGTCTTTGACACATTGTTGTGACAAATCTTAAAACTCTTGACACTTATTCCTTAGGTTAATTTTTACAATAGTGTTCCTCAAACTTGAGAGGCAATGTTGCACGGTGCCAACCAGGCTTTGAAATCTAGGTTCTCTTAGGTAGCGTAAATGCTCTGAGCTATGATTCTTTTTTTCTGCAATATAGGTATTATAATTGCACTGAGTTCATACAGTTAGCTCGGGGATTCAGTGACCTACTGTATGTATAGCACTTGGCCTCTTG